GCAGCGGGGGGTGACAATGATTGCATTGTTGTTGTGTGGGTGCAATTGTGTTTGTTGTATGTAGTAGCAGCTACGGCGCGCAGTTTGGGCCGAAAGAATATTAGTCAATACAATATGCTGCGGACCATCCATCCGGTTGCTAAATGTTGTAAACAGAAGATAGTCAGTATCTGACGATATTTATTAGTGGTCACCAACAAACCAGTGAGAAGCAGTAAAAGCTCATACTTACTAACTCTAGTCTCTGATATAATCTTTCCAATATCATTACTATTATGACAATCCCTTCGATATTCCCGCTTCTATTTATTACACCAAAGTGTTAACATGACAGACTTCTTTCACCGTAACAATATCACTTTAACTGATAAAATTAAAATTACCAACCATCATCTCTTCAACTCCACTTCAACGTGCCGAAGCACGGACAATAATTAGTTCTGGAACAACTTGTTTACCAGCGTTGAAGCACAAGTAGTTTTTAATGTTGACGGGTTCCATCCTCATTGGGTAATAAACGGCACGTGAATTGAAAATAATGCAATAGTCCGCACTAGAATGTTCTACGTATTCGACAGCTCTTATCCATATACGCCTCATTCGATTTGTTAAACCGAAGTTCTCCGTTCTCCTGGTTCCGCATGTTGATTTTTTATTCTAAGTGGATATGGAGAAGACAAACACTTCATCCTTAAATCATTGATACCGCACGGAACTACGCGTAAAATGTCCGATTAGCTCCAAGAAAATCTAGTATGAAAAACAAAGAGGTATAATCAGCGTTGGATATGACCAACAGATTTGTTGAATTTCCTAATCACCAATTCTTAATACCAAATATTTTGTTCCAACTCTTTGATGTTCGTTCTTCAGAATTCCTACTTGGTAAAGCGTTAACATGACAAACTACTGGTATTACGAACTATCTACAATATCGCCTGTAATCTTGCTCGCTCTAATCCAAGGTGCGGGTAAGAAGGCTTATCCGGTATTCGCTAGAGAACCTAGTGGCTTTACTAAAAGAATTCGCGTGTGCATGATCGACCCCACCGATAATACCAATGGAATCTACTTAATCCTAAAAGTTTTACGGGCTTTATAACAATAAAATGGAAATAAATAATAAGGCTTAGTATATAAACGCAATGAGTATGAATATGTGAGAACTCAGATCGAGAATGAGATAGAAGTATGCTACTCCTCATTTTCACTGTCAACTTGTCCATCCTTTCCTCGCCAAAATGAGAATTCATACGTGCGTTCTAATTCCCAAACAGATCCTACACTTCCTCAACTCCGCATCTCTCCCATAAGAAATGTTTACGCGTGTAACTGTAAGTGTAAGAATTAATTTAGAGTTCAATCTTCAAATAAAATAGCCAATACATTTATAAACTTTATGATGTTTAGCCAAACTTACAATCGTTATTATTCCTGTATGAATTAGCGTGTGTTGATTGTCAAATATGGTCATTTAGAGTCCTTCAACCAGTATTCTTTCCAGTTGAGATGAGGAAGACGGGAAGTAAGTAAGGAGCGGGGAAATTGAAGGATATATATTATTCACCATGAACAGAATAAGAAACCGGATTTCCCTTAATAGCCATTATGATATTCGAATGATCAAGGAAATTATTCGCGAAGGATATCAGATGTCCACATATAGACACGTGTTGTGGCTTTCAAGCGGTGTTGCTAGCCTCTATACAATTAAGGAAGACGAATGTTATATTCGATATGCCCCAACTTAAATCCCAGTTTGGAACATATGATAAGCATCGAAACTCGGAACGGGTGTAAGGGGGATATATCGGAAAAATAAAGCTGTGGCTCGACACGGGATTGCGCATGTACTACTTTATAAACCCCTCGCAATGTACTATCCTTATATGCGCGTCCATATCACCGGCTAAGAAGCAGACAGGATTTTGTGGGCAGATAGTAGATACGATATCCTGTATATTACTCTTTATTATTATAACAATCTTGCATGTAATAGTTATTAAAGGGTAAAGATTTCGGTGGATTTTTTTTGCGCGTCTATCGTCATATTAATATTAATTATGTACAATCGTCTTGTAGAGAAGCAATGTTCAGACTTGCTATTATTATACTTTACGATATGGTCCTTAATATGTTATTTTATACAAAAATGTTCATGTCCCCTACGTCAAACCCGAGCAAGATTAAATAGTTCAATTTTCTCACAACCACTGCCACAGTCGATCTCACCCAGTTACCCCCAGTAGTTTTTGGAAATAAAATTTGTAACGCTGTATAACGAGAATCGTTTACGTCACTTTGTGTATCCGATCCTCTTCCATTTGGCCTAGGAGGGAACGGAACGAACTTGCAAGTTTGAATTAAACTTCTAATCTCGCCAATATTTCTCCAAATTATAAGTTTGGCCTCACGGACTGTGGACGGTCCGCCTGATAGAGAATAAAAAAACTCCATATCATTTTCACGGAGGCAGACGCCATCTCCATACCAGTTAATTACCCCATTCGTCAATGCACCGTGCATGGCGCTGTGTTCGTTTTTCTAGCATTCGATCGAGATCTTCGAGTGGACATGAGCGTAATAGCCTGCCTGTTAAAATATACAGGTAAAAATGTCGACACCCTTATCACATCCAGTTCCGTATGTGGCGCATCAAATACTCGGCCGCACTTGGATTTGCTTCCCTCGGACGTATGCAGACGTGCATAAAACACCCTTGTATCCGCCAAGACGGAATTGAACGGCAGAAGGAGTGCTTTTTAAATAAAGAACTTCGGCGATTAATGGTTTGAAAGGTAGATGAGCCACGGAGCGAGTGCTCGAAAAGCGCTGTCCCATGCGGCAGCGTATTTTGCCACTACGTTGATGTTACTTAAATCTCCCATCCGTTCGCGTATGTCATCAGCGCTTAATTCCATTGTGAAGCAAAGAACCAGCAAGAGCGATCTCGTAGCTGGCTTGAAGAAAGGCCAAAAATTCGTAATGTCTATTTCCAATATTAATCCCATTCACAAGAGTACGGTTAGCCGAAGTTTCCCATTTTCATCAGTGAGTTGGAAATGTTCTTTGTAATGTCTTATTGTTCTATTGCTAGTCTCCATGGCTGGCGGCAATACAACCATCTTAGAAGGGGTAATAACAACTTTTCGCATCATGGCACAGTACAACGTGTACCGTTCCTTTTCGACTGTCACCTCCTTGAATTTTCGCAACTTGAAGCTTCAAGAGAGAAGAGGATCATAAATTCTATGTTTATGCCGATAGAACCTATCTAAATGGTAAGAGCTGTCCCTTCTTTTGTCGAGCATTCGTCATTGAGATTGTAATCGTATAAGAAACCATGTGTAATATTGTATAAAGTACAACGAAGTCCAGCATTGCTCTGTCGACGTATTTTTTCAAATTGCTTCCGTCAACCACCGTTATATATCTGGAAAACATGGCTTGCCTTTACAAGATTGTAACCAGCAGCTTGTAACAGGATAGCTTTGGCGGATGCTTGGTTCGTATTGTAGTTACCGCGCGAGATTGATTTCTCCGTGTATCGAGTTCATCCTCGACGTCTCTGACAGACGAAACTTGTGATGCTACGTCCGTTCCCTTCAGTAAAACCAAATTCAATTTCCAAAAAACTACGTCTTGAGTAGTTTAGCCTAAACTCTACATCAATGTCCGTTCTCCACTCTGTGACAAACGCGTCATTTGAAAATTTCCAAAGACTTGCCAAATAGAAAATCTTGCTTCTTGACATTTTGCCGGGGTCTAGGAGACCGTGTAATTTCTATCCGCAATCGCCTACCATGAAATGTTGGTTTCTGTTCCCGAAACGCCGTTGCTGGAGATCTTCAGTAACGAGGACAGGGTAAATTAAATATTTTGATATTAATATTCGTATCATTGTTACTTAAATCAAACATACATATTTAATTAACATGAAAATTACCTATATACAATGTATACTGCACCAGTAAATACAGTGCCTGACTCTTCCGTCTCCATAGTTATCCTCTCCAGCTGACCATATCCAGAGAAAAAAATTCTCAACTCGGTCAAAGTGGCGGAGCGCTAATTGCTAGGTTTAATCGCTGGTCTCTTCCGTGACCATTGCGACTATTTTCCTTTTATATAATTTTTGAAAGGGTTATCTCATGATTCACAAGAAAGCCGGATGTGGAAGTAAGCGAACAATGACGTTATACTAGCAAGTTGGAGCATCAGTCAGTTGAGCGTCTTGCGAAAAATACAGGAAAATTGCAAACGGTAACATAATATTACGTGAATAGTACGTATTGGATGTTTTTGTCGTCCGCGGTGACAAGTAAAGTGCTCTGTCATATCTAATATGAAATTGCAGCAATTACTGAGAGTTTTTCCAGAAATTTCTAAAATGTCAAATTGATATAGTAAACTAATTGTCAAAAACATTATATTCATCACTTAGTGTTGGTGATCTACTTACCTGAAACCTAAGATCCAAACTTAACCGGCCATTGTCCCGACTTAGGGATATGTGTTTTCTCGCATAACTTGCATGAGTTGCCTTCAGTCCAACGATAGCAGAGACAGAATCGCTTTTTATCATTTCATGGGATCTCGTGCTATGTGTTGATTACAAGGAAACGGGAGCCAGTCGAGTTGGGACGAAAAGACTGTAGGCGTCGTGGGCGGGTTGATGTGGAAGTCATTGACCCCTATGTTCCTTCTTTGTTTGAACAACTCATTGCACACCGCCCAATGGCCTGAATTGCCGAAGTAGCAAAATCTTTGTTCGGACTTTTCACATATCCCTAAATGTAAAAGAGTGGGATTGATCAATAAATGTCTGACACGTTTTATAAGAACACATATGATACGAAGCTATTCAACAACCTGAAGTTCTCTAAGTAGAAATGTGATATTACTTTTAGTCGCAATCAGTGTCATTATGATTTCAAGTTACGAATAAATGCAGGGTCACAAAGAATTGCTGGAGATGGGACTCAAACAAATTCTAAATAAAAGAAAAAGTATAATTAATAAGCACAGCATTTGTCGTATATAATATTTTCTCGTTACAGTCTTTGTTCAACTTATACGCACCGGCTGCTGAGTCGCTATCATAGTAGTATTCTTGAGAACAACGTATTGTATCTCCCGATGATAACGGAGTAGTTTTGACCAGTGACTTTCCCATTTTATATGTTTCTTGTTGGGGTGCAAGATAGTAAAATAGTTTGACCACTGATAGAACCACCTTTGATAGGCAATATTAATATTCATTATTAACCCATAAGCGTATAGCCCTTCATATTTGACAACTAGTAGACAGTTAATATTTACAGCAGTGTTCCAAAGGACAAAGCTTGTCAACAGATGACGAGGATGAATCGGAACTCTCATCTGAGTAGAATGCTTTTGACTTTTTCTTAGTAGAAGGCTTAATTCCCTACAATATGATCACAAACGCCTTTCGTTACGGCACACAAAATTTTAAAACAGCCCGTTATTTGATATAATTCCCAAGTAACATTACCTGAAGATTGGGATTTAAGAACTGCGTTCTGACCATGATTAAGCTCCACTTTAGAAATAATGCCATACAAAGCAAGAACAACAGAGATCAACGTTAAATAATAACAACTTACTTTGCATATCTTATCAACAGACCTATTATTGCTATCTGCCCCCATTCTTCAGCGTCAACTAGCATTCTACATAGTTTCCCATAATGCTGGTGAATCAAATACAGTCTCTCTAGACATACTTCATTAAATGCCATTATCACACTTCCGATTGTATATGTAGGCTTGTCGTTAAGCATGGTAGTTATTATCTCAACCAATGCATCTTTCTGAGAAGAATCTAAACTAAAAATAGTTTAAGATAAACCATTTCTAGCTCTCAACGCAAGCAAATCTCGGTTTCTCCTTATTTCACCTTACCTGTAACATTTCGGAATAGTATGCAGTCTTCCTATGTATGGCGATAAATCAATGATACATTTCTTAATAGGATTGGACTGATCATAGGTACTCGTATTCCACTCATAACTCTCAACGCCATCGTTCGACTAATTGGTTCTGGTCGGTGGGGTCTTTTTGAAAAGTGTTTATTGACAGCAATGCAAGATCAAGTTCTTATTCTGCGTATCGAAGGAGAGATATATAGACTAGTTTTCGAACTTCAAGGCTATATTCTTTGCCACGCTGACACATCACGGCCTTTTGAGATCATCTTTATGCCAATGTGTAAAGTCGAGAGCCGTGAGTTAAGAGAACGTACATGTGCGCTAACTGATAATCATGATGAAAAAACATCAAAGCTTACAGCAATTAATATTTTAGACCATCTAATTTCTCTCTATCGTGTCTTGAATCCAAATACATTTTTAGACCATCTAATTTCTCTCTATCGTGTCTTGAATCCAAATACATTCTGATATTTCTTCGGAATGTCGAACTAATGTTGACCAGAAGGAAAATTCTCGACTACATCTTTTTTAATAAATTTGGCGACATGACGCCACAGATAGATTTCAGGGGTTCAAGGCTGTTGAACGCCACAGATTAAGATTAGTGATAACCCCACCCATTATTTTACAATCTTTCATTCGTGAGCTGAACGCGGCCACTCAAATTCGCAAATTTATGCGAGGAAAAGGCGTTTCTCCTCAACGTTAAAAAACCCTACTTGCGAGGTAGATAAAGAAGGAGGAGGAAGAAGAATATGCTGATAATATTGCCAACGATATGTAGCGTAGACAACGTGAACAAAATACGCGAATACTCCTTTTCAGAATTCGAATGAGAAATAGATCGATTGAATTCTGGAAAGGATTTATGCATAAAGAAAAAAGAGGTTTCGTTGGATATTATAATTCTATTGGGCGGACTAACATTGTCGTCGATATGGAGATGTAAAGAAGAGCTTTGGTAGGGTTGAAAGTAAAGGAGGATTTGAAGGAAGGAGGAGAGGAATTCTATTGACTATACTAATTTGATAATTATGCCGGTAATAAGAATAATAATAACCTTGTAATAGGAAGCGTAAAAACTTTGACTTTGGTGTCTAACTTAAGACGTTGAAAGGAAGATATAGAAAGCGAATATATATTTGTAGTAATAGTTCGGCGTAGGAACTATGCACATTAATGAAAGAACTTGGTATGTTAAGGTTGAGAGCCCAAGGATTTGAATAACCCAATGACGCATCATCAGAGGATGATGATACGAAGGAGGGCCCTGATACAAGATGGTTCAAAGAAACTTTCGGCAAAAATATATAATTTTGATCGCGTACTATCTTTATCGTTATATAACGTAACATCAGGCTTGTACGTAGCTGCCTGTAAGTATCCTAATAACTTCGATCTGTCTAAGCACATTAGCTCCCAACTTCGTTAAGAATGCTCAAACACCAAGAAAGCAACCTATATTTTTTAGCAATGTCGTAAATCGTCTATACAAATTAAAGGTTGTTGCCACATTATTATCATTACGCCATTACTGCCAACGTTTAATTTTTACTGCCATAGAGACCATATTATCTAAAGCGAGTGTTAGGTGATACTGGATATGGAAAATTGCGTTAAACGTTCTGCTCGCTGATGGATACGATTATTGTGTCGAAGGGAGAAACGATTAGGGATCAACAATATGTTGAATTAGTCGGCGTAGTGGGATACAATAATTACAATTCGGCTCTAAACATTTGTCGTTGCTCATTATTACATTTACGCTTGTCCTGCGAATGATGAGACATATGTTCTATATATTTTAAGCATCATATAGAAAGACTGTTTATTCGCAGCACAATCGGACTCGCGTTTTCATTAGACGATTTGCCACCGCAATCATTTTGAAACCAAAATCGGAAAAACGTAATATTATTCAAACTCAAAACGACATAATTATGTAGTTTTATCTTCAACTTTATTAATATAACATTTACATGATTACATAGTTTACAACATTGAGATGAGTAAGAAGGTCGCGGACATTCATCACATTAAGTATATATACAAAAATCAACCCCACAAAAAACTACTTCTATGATCTGTGTTGACATACTAGTAAAATTGAAAATATCCAGTCACTGCGGTCCGCATTTTTTTTCCATACTGATCCTTCAGGCTTGTCCAGCACGTGATTGCTTGTAGATTTCCCGCGGTTAAAACGTCTATTCAAGCTCGATGCGTTTTCTATACTCTTTGGTATAGATAAAAAACGCATTTTTTGGTCTCCTCGGAGAACCGGTGGCTTCGCCGAACTTGTTTTCAAGTCAGCGGGAAATGTTTTGTATTATGGTTTATGATAATAACAAATTAAAACTTGGGGGGGGCGGCCATATAACATAAAATGATTCTGTGGCCGTGGGATGTTTGTGTGATCCCGAATTATGTTTCGGCCACTGCGCTCGGATTCGTTAACTCCTCTATTGACAATGTTAACCGAAACGGTAGAAGCGCTGGCAAGAACGCCGCGGGGTTTGTTATAACGTCCTTGTGAAAAAGGACAGGTGGAGTTGACAATGTGTTGTTGATATTAACACGTCCACCGGATAAGTTGGTTATCAACGAAAAAACTTGTAGGTTTAGTAAAAACATGGAGGTATTAGACGGGAAATGTCTGTTTAGTCTGTCAGTCCAAGCATACGCTTTATATCCCCAAGCGCATGGGACCGCAGCAACTGAAATATTATTGTTCTTCCATATTGGTTAGCATTTGGCATATCATTCACAATAACAAATTGTCAGCTGGAGATCGACGATGACTTTTTCGATCACCCCTCTTTATTGTCCTTTAAAATTAGGTTATTATTATTATGCGACTCGATATTTAAACATATAACTTTACGCAAATCTATACCGTTGAAAAGCGCAAAAGAACCGCTATCAGATTTATAAAAGATTGTCTTAATATCTTGCTTCTTCGTTGAGAAATTGAATTTTGAATCTAGGACACTATTCGGTAGTCGCCGACCATCTCCCAATTACCATATGCACATAATCGAGTATTATCGTGACCTGCATAATAATAACCTTGAATAATCCGGCTTGTAATATAAATAGCCGTTCGGATTTTTTAAGAGTCCAGAAACACAATGTTAACCAAATTATTACGGTAAAAGCGGTATATGACGGAATAACGCGGTGAAAGCATCACAAGACAATTTAAACCTGATACGTG